ATTTACATAGGCTACTGTTTGTAATTATAGTAATGTTCATTTGAATGATTTGTGCCTTGGCTGATTCAATACAAGACAATTAAGACTGCTTTTTAGCTGTTACAATTCCAAATGACACAGTAAGGAAATTGGGTGTTTCCATCTCTTTTTCTAATTGTGTCTCTTGCTATAGGTGCATGTTCAAGAATGCATGAAAGAAAGAACACAAAATGTAAACATTATTGTTAGATCTATATAGTATTTATTTTAAAAATATTTTTGTTTGAACTATTTATCCACTGTGCAAATGTTGCGGAACCACTATTATTGATAGCTTTTTGCCACCTATAGTAGTGGGAATCTCCACTTTTTAAAGTGTAATTTACCCACTTATGGAGTGAGCTATATGATGACTTTTGAACACACCTTTTTTGGTGTGAACAACCCACCATTATTTTTGCAGTGCAGTGAGAACAAATCATTGTATCACATATTTCCCAAAAGAACTCCAAAGGCTTAATTTCCATGATCACTACATGTGGCCTCTTGAGGATCTGGTAAATCTGCTGTCTTCTTTGTTAGGCTGTACATCTCTTTGAGGTCGTTGAGGTGGAATCCTACAGGAAAGGCTCCTACTCCTTCTTCTGGTAACTCTGTACAATGACGACAAGTGGGACAAGAGAAGTAATAACCCTCCAGACAGTGCTGAAAGAATGAGTGATGGCAGGGTAGGATCTTAGGGTTGGTATAGTGGTCAAGACACACAGGACAAGTGAGCCGCTCCTCCAGTTTGAGTCTGAGACCAGAAGATGGTTTGGTTGCCATTTCAAGAAAAGAATAATTTAAAAATTGTTTATGTAAACCAGGAACAAAAATGAAGATAGATAAAGGTAGAAGATGATAAAAGAAGATAGAGCAAGAACAAACAAGAAGAAAATGAAGTAAAAACAAACAGCAGTAGACTTTGCAGAACAATAAAAGGAAAGGAGCGACAGGAAGACAGCCTGACAATGATACAGTAGTCTATACAGGAAGTTATGATAGCTAAAATAACGAGAGCACTAAAGTGCGTACCCTCGCCACAATATGTATATGTAACAGTTTTAACAAATTAAGAGAAAATAGTGAAAGTTTTGAGACTGAGAATAAGCTACAGCACGTACTAGCTTTGGTAAAATTTAGTGAATGTTTTGAGACAGAGATTGATTTGTATTTTTAGACAGAGAAGAAGCTCCAGCATGTTTGCTGCACTGCTGCATGCTAGCTAGCTGCAGCAATGTAAAGGTGTGGCTGCAATGAAGGTGTGGCTTAATTAAACCATGCTCCACCCGCACACACAGTAATGGTGGCACATGGCCATAAGTGGTGAAGAAAGCTTCAGTTTTTCTCGACTTTTAAACAGTTTAGCTTACATTTGTTAGGCTCTATTTGTTGCATACAAACTGCTATCTAATCCCTGGTGTTTAAAGACTCTGGCCGCTACTTTGGGAGAAGAGAGCCTCGTCTAAACTCACCGTGGCAAGGTATGAAAGTTTGGGCTATCATATCTTTAAAACGAAGACGATTGGAGCAATTTCTTACATATTATTTAAAGATGAGGCTTTGGTCTATCGCTTCATTTGTCTTGCTGCTTTTTAGCTTTCACCATGAAAAAGATATATTTGTACTGACTACATTTGGCGATATTGTGAGCTTTCTCTGCCTCGGGAAGACGAGTCAAGCCATTTTCTAGACAAAGAATAACTTTTTCTATAGCTAGTTTTGATTATAAGACTACCCAGGATTTCACAAGAAAGCAGTGTCAGCTCAAAAGTGGAGATCAAGCGAACACACACACACACACAGACAAAACGACTGCTTTACACGCCCAAGAGTTGGAACATGGACCAGTCCTGATACAGGCCTGAATCATTACTGATGATCGAGCCTGGACCGTGGATTTGGGGCAATGTCCTGATCCGATATTGACGAATCAGCCACGATTTATGCTGGTGCCAGACCTGATCCGACAACGATAACGATATTCATTAAGCCTCATTATGACGTACTTCCTGTTATGCTTAATTAATACTTAATTATTATTAATTTAAAATGATTTGGAATTATTATTAAAACCAAAAAAAGATTATAATTGTTTTCTTCATCATAGTCTACCAATGTTCCACAAGTAAGACACTTCATGTTTTGTAACTTAAGACACCTAAAGAGCCATAAATTAAGAAGGCACTAAAATAATAAACTTACATTACTGAGAAATTAATTTCCAAAAATCTCCAACATTAATGAACTCTGGGGTTCCATGTAGTGAAGCAGATCT